ATTCCCTACGAAGAACCAGGGGGTTGTAAGGTTTGGATCTGATAATTTCGGCTTTCGGGCTTCTTAGCACAGCGGGTTGCGGGCTTCGTTTGTGTTTTTAGGGTTTAGGGTTTAGGGTTTAGGGTTTAGGGTTTAGGGTTTAGGGTTTAGGGTGTTTCTAATGTTTCCTGGTATTCGGGTAACAGGCCCTAGGCGCCCCAAGGGTTGCAAAGGGGGGGGTCCTGGAATGGATCAAAAGAGCTAGTCCCCCGAATAACGGTACTATACGGATGAACTCATGTTCTTAACTTTTGGGGTGTTCCCTGAGGCTCCAATACCCCTTCATTAAGGAATACTCCCTAAACCATACAAGGAGCCCTAGTATACTTTAAGGAAAACTAAGGGGTATTGGAGTCTCTGGGAATTCTTGGGCAACTAGTAGAAGTACGTTGTAGGGTTTCCGCATGTTTTGATGCAGCGCCAGAACTGACCCTTTCGGGCTGCTTCAGAAGCCCTAAACCCTGCGCCTCAACCGTAAACCCTAAAGCCAAGCCTGTTTGTTCAAGAACCCCCAAAGAAGTAGAATGATATGATTCCCTAAATTGCAGTAGGAAGAAGGATTATTGTCCGTCTTCTTATTATTCTAAAATTATTAGCATCTATATGTATGTATATATATATATATGTACATATACGTGTGTGTGTGTGTGTGTGTTTTTTTTTTGGGGGGGGGGGGGCCTCAAGCACATGGTAGTGAAAATCCCTTCAAACTCGAACACCCTCTCTTGTAGCCTGCACGCAGGCGAGGGCGAGCTGCCCCCCGGAGACCTTTCCCGTGGCCTGCCGCTTTGCGGCGCCTGGGACAGGCCAGCTTTTTTTTTGTTGATTTCCGGTTTGGGGTTTCGGGTTTAGGGTTTAGGGTTTAGGGTTTAGGGACAGGGTGTGAGGGTCTTGGGCTTAGCTTTACCCACAATTGTGGGTTCTTGTTTTTGGGGTACCTTATTTTGCGTGGTGTGCTGCTGAACAAACAGGGGGCTGATTGGGGGTCTCGGTTGGCTTGCGTTGGCTTAGGGTTGTTGATGATTTGGTGTTTCCAGGGTTTGTGGGGGTTTCCTGAATCCCTTCTGCCCCCTTTCTCAGTCCCTTCCCTCCAAGGACCCCCAAAACTTGGGATGTTCCCCCGTATACTAACGTCCTTAGTAGGGACTAGAGTAGGGGCACTAAGAATCCCGATTAAGGACTGTTAGTGAAGGGGGGAACATCCCAACCCATTGGGTTTAGGGATTTGGGTTTTTGGATGTATGGTTCAGTAGGGACAAAAATCGGGTACTCTAATCCCTGTTAAGGACTGTTAGTATAAGGGGGAACATCCCTAAACCCTCTCTGGGTTTTGGGTTCTTGGGTTTTTTGGATTTAGGGTTTAGGACCGCACACCCTTGACAGAAAGCCCGATTTCACGGGGCGGCTATTTGGGGGTAGTTGGGGTGGAGGGGCAGGCGCAACTCGAAATATTTCTAGATCACCTGCAGGGTCTGACAGATCCCAGCCAATAGTTGAAGCAACCCCTAACTCCCCTAAACCCTAAACCCGAAACCCTAAACCGTAAACCCTAAACCCTAAACCCTAAACCCTAAACCCTAAACCCTAAACCCTAAACCCTAAACCGTAACTCCTAGAAGCCTTGCACCCTCAACACGGGAAACCTCAACACGGGGGGCTTTTCATTGAGCGGAGGGAAGACCCCCAACCCCAAATCCAACCTGAGGGTTAGAGGGTTATGGGGTTATAGTGTCCCTAAACCCTAAACCCTAAACCCTATGGTTTAGGGTTGAGGGTTAGGGTGCAGGCCCAGGCTTTGCAATGGGGTGGAATTGTTTTGGCGATTTTGTCGAAGAATGTGTCGTTAACATGTTGTTCATGTATTTTGCGCGAAAGGCATCTCGACTTTGAATCAATCGCAGAGTTCAGTGCTATAGAAATACACAATGGGAGCGGCGGTCTTTCTCTGGAGATGGAAACCCAACAGTCTCTGTGCTGTTGGGGATGTATTTCATACCCAGAATGACGGCCCCTGTTCTCCTACGGTTCTGGTGCTATTCGGGAGCGGCTACAGATGTTCAGGCCCACTAGCACCGCAATTCTTTGCATTAACTTGGGAACTGATCGCGGCCAGCCAGCAAGTTCCAACGACGTAGATCACGCATAGAACTATGTTGAATACGCACATGAATGAATAGCCAGGACCCAGAGTAGGTGCTAAACCCTAAACCCTAAACCCTAAACCCTAAACCCTAGACCCTAAACTATAGGCCTTTATTCCCTTTTGTTCAGGGCCCAGGTTCCCTGAAATTCCCGTTTAAACCAACAAGGGCACCCTTTTTCTCTTCCTAGGTTGCTCTTGGGTCTAGAACAGCTAGTCCTTTTGGAGTCACAAGTTTCGTTTCACCCTAAACCCTGAACCCTAAACCCTAAACCCTAAACCCTAAACCCTAAACCCTAAACTCTAAACCCTAAACCCTAAACCCTAATCCCTAATCCCTAAACCCTAAACCCTAAACCCTAAACCCTAGCCTGGGGCATGGGTACTTGAGCGCAGGCAGCAGTAATCAGTCATCAAAACCCCAAACCCTAAATCCTAAACCTTAAACCCTAAACCCTAAAACCCTAAACCCTAAACGCTGCGCAGGCCACAGCGTTTGGATCTCCAACAACTCCTGCGTTGCCCGCAACGGCGGCATCAATGAGGAGGATGAGACGCTCGGCTGGAAGTATCGGGTTAGGGTTTAGGGTTTAGGGTTTAGGGTTTAGGGTTTAGGGTTTAGGGTTTAGGGTTTAGGGTTTAGGGTTTAGGGTTTAGGGTTTGGGTAGGTCCTTGGGACGTATTGACATTTTCCCATATTGGGTTCAAGAGGATCATATTCAGGAGTATGTCTCAGAGGGTTCGAAGGGCCATCTCTGGGGTTTAGGGTTTAGTGTTTAGGGTTTAGGGTTTATGTATGTGGTGGTAGTTCTCCCCTGTTGGGGTTCTGTTTTTGAGGGTGCCGTGCTATGTAGGGGACCCTCCCCAAGAGGGACTCTAAACCCGAAACCCTAAACCCTTTGAGAGAACTAATTGGAGGTTCATGGTACTAAACATCCCAATTGGAACTGTACATACTGTAACCACGTTAGGGCACGTAAGGGGCTAATAAGTGGGTTATAAGTACCATGAACCTCCAAATAAACCCTAAACCTTGAACCCTAGACCCTAAACCCTAAACCCTATTGTTTAAGCTTGCCTATGCACATGCCAAGGATTCGAAGCAATGCCGCCTGCAGCAGCATGTTTCGCAGCTTCACAGCTTCGGGCAGCCGGCCCGATACCTTTCTTTGGGGGGGGGGGGGGGGGGGGGGGTGGTTAGGGTTTAGGGTTAGGAGGCCCCCCGCCCTAGTAACAGTGAAATAAAGCTTTTGTATGTATCACACAGACGAAAAAGAGCACCAGGAATGCGAACGACGTTGGCCCAGCATGACTTAACGGAGCAGAAAAAGTAGCACCAGAAATAGCAGAGTTAATTTGCCGATCATCAACACCGCATGGACATGTTTGTGAGGGGAAGCTCGGCGTGGCAATTTGCAGGCTATATAAACGAGCACAAACGAGAGCATCAAAAGTAGCACCAGAAATAGCACAAACAGGAGCACCAAAAAGCAGCAACAGAAACAGCACAAGTTTTGATACGAAGCATGTGATCACTCCCTGGCCATTGTTTCCTGCTTTTGCTGGTGCTTTAGCTGGTGCTTCTGCTTGTGCTCACTGTTAGTAGGGCGAGGGAAATCCCAAGTTTAGGGTTTAGGGTTTAGGGTTTAGGGTTTAGGGTTTAGGGTTTAGGGTTTAGGGTTTAGGGTTTAGGGTTTAGGGTTTAGGGCGGAGGGCCCTGAGTTGTCTGATTGTTTCAGGCGAACATTTGATCCTCGACTAGGCTGATTTCTGCACAGGCACTCGGCCATGTCCTAGATAGGATAAGGGGGGCCCCATAAGAGGGAAGCCCTTCTGAACCCTCTTCTGGCTCTCTTAAACAGGGCCTTGCAGAGGGTCTACATCCCCAAGGGTCCCCCTAGTCCCAAACCCTCAGGGAAGGTTTAAGAAGTGAGCCGTGAAGGGTTAGCAGTGGCTAATTCAGAGGGACTGAGATGGGGGTGGAGATTGGAGCGATTTTGGGTGTGGGGGTGTCGGGTGATCCTAAACGTCAAAGTAGGGCTGTTCAGGTTTCTGGGCTTACCTAAAACCCTAAACCCTAAACGCTAAGCCCTCGTGCGAGTTTCGGTTTCCGGGGCCTCAGCTTGCGTAGCCAAGGCAACGCAACCTCGGGCGCCAGCTGTCCGGCAGGTCCTCCGAAGGGTTTAGGTTTAGGGTTTAGGGTTTGGGGTCTAGGGTATTTCGGTCTAAGCCCATTTTGCTACCAGATTCCCTCTTTAGGTAACCCTTAATTAGAGGCAACCTATAAACCTTAAGCCCTAAACCCTAGACCCTAGACCCTAAACCCTAACCCCCGCCCAAAAATGATTCCCAGTATTGAAGCCTTACGCAAGGTAACCCCCCACCCCACATTTAGGGTTTAGGGTTTAGGGTTTGGGGTTTCGGGTTATTTAGGGTTTAGGGTTTCGGGTTTAGGGGTCCTTCAAAACATGAAAAGCCCAGTCAAGTACTACTGCTCGTGCTGGTCGCTTGTAGTGATACCTCTCCATAGCAATCATATCTTCGCTTGTCGTGTAAACTACCCTAAGCCCTAAACCCAAAACCCTAAACCCTATTCCCTAAACCCAAAAGCGATGTCAGCACAGTCGTTCTTAAGCCGATTTCCACGGTCATTCATCCTTCACCTATCAGTCTAGGGCACTTCTGTTCGTGAAAGCCCACGTTAGCGTGGTGCATCTTGTGTTAGGGTTTAGGGTTTAGGGTTTAGGGATATTTGAAAGCTTTGCTCAGGCACTGACACGAGGCAACCAGTTGTGAGGGTAAGAAAATCGCTGTGATCGCCATGTGCGACGATGAGAAGAACGGTTGCAAGCAGAGCAAGCAGGGCAAGCAGAGCAAGCAGAGTGCGGATGCATCCTCTGCACGGGCCTGGACTTGCAAGAAAGAAATTGCAGAGATCTACAGCCCGGTAGTCGACGACCAGCAGTTCGAATTGATCGAAGAGGGGGTCTCTTTGGACCCGCATGATCAAGACAATAGCTACATGTACACATCCTTTCGATCAAAGGACGGGGGCCGTCTTACCCGTGAGATCGTGGACAGAGATTTCGTTCTTGTTGGAGATGACAAGTGTGGCTTGTCCGCAGTCCTCAATGTACCAGTGCCTCCGGGAGCAACCTTGTCAGTACAAATGACCACGTGGTGCAACCCCTGCCACAGCGGATTCGGCGTGACGAAATCGGGATGCTTTGGGGTTGGAATGGTCCCGTACGGATGCGCCGAGGTGCAAGAGTGGCCTTGTGATGACTTCCAGACCTGCATTGAAGATGGCGTACAGTACTACTGTGAACTCGCTTGGAGCACGATGCTTTCTGGCATAGGCGGGGCACGGCTGGAAGGCATGCTTGCTAGCGGTTCGGTTAACTCTATGATTCAGCATACTCTCGATGTTGTGCAAGGCGGAACCAGCATTCACCATTCCAAGCAAACGCAGCTGAGCTTGGAGATGATCCACATAAGACTCCGTCGTGATGCATCCGGGGAGAGCGAGCTTAGTTTCGCGCATGGGACAGATGTGTTCAAGGTCAAGCGCCCAGGAAAAGATGCACATAGACATATGCAGCTTTACTTCAATTGCCTTGGTTGGGCAGACAACAAGACTTACATTCAGATACACAAGGTCGCCTATGATCCGCCGCTTTGTGACCGGAAAGCCTCCGAAAGCGACAAAGACTCGAAGAAGCGAGCTAGTGAGGAGGACCTTCCCGATTATGCCAAGATTTTGAAGGCCGACCCCGAGCTACGCAAGCAAGTTGATGAGTTGATCAAGTCAAAGCAGCAGTAGCCTTGCCGCTTGACCTGGGTCTTGGAGTACTATACTTTAATACTTTTTTTGGTGCTGGGTTCATATTATAGCTACTTATACGTAAAAAGTATATACTTTTTTCCAGGGTCTACTCCAAAGCTAAGTGACAGATGGCACTATAGGGCAAAGCGGAGTGGCGTGGCTCACGATCACAAACTGATCAGTATGAGCTTGTTGGTTACAAGCAATATAGGGGCCGGAAGAATTACTAAGGGTATTCCCTTATGCTTTACAAGTACTGTAGTAACCCCAAAAACCCTATTCTAATCATTAAGGCCCCTTATATTGCCCTAACTCGCGCTAGAAGCAGCTGAAGGCATAACTGGGCGGATGGCTCACCTTCTGAGGGTAAGCTTCATAAGGTAGGGTTTAGGGTTTAGGGTTTAGGGTTTAGGGTTTAGGGTTTAGGGTTTAGGGTTTAGGGTTTAGGGTTTAGGGTTTAGGGTTTAGGGTTTAGGGTTTAGGGTTTAGGGTTAGGCCTCTGAGTGCACTGCGTACAGATTTCTGCTCCAAAGAGGCCGTCGCGGCTGAGGACGGCTTTTCCCTGCTAAGTCTTTCCCCCTAAACCCTAAACCCTAAACCCTAAACCCTAAACCCTAAACCCTAAACCCTAAACCCTAAACCCTAAACCCTAAACCCTAAACCCTAAACCCTAAACCCTCAGCCGTCCAACCCACTGCATGTTTAATCAGCGCAGCGACATTTGTGGCGCTCTGGAAAGTGGGAACGTGGGTTTAGGGTTTGGGGAAGTTTCACGGTCCCTTAGCTTCTTTAAAGGGTTCTGAAGTCTGCGCCCCTGGGGTGTATAGGGTATACAAGGGGTATACCAGGGGTCCCCAAGAGCCCATACTAAGGGGCCATGCAACTACCAAAAGAGGAACTTCGAGCAGGGGGATCTGTCAGTCCAGTCTAGCCCCCTGGAACATGTCTCTCCTGAAGCCGAACAACGCTTAACAACCCCCAAAGCCACCAACACCCCCGAACCCCAAAAAAAGGCAACAACATCTCCCGAACAAAAAACCTCCCCCCTAAAACCTAAACCTTAAACCCTAAACCCTACATCCCACAAAACGAACGATGCCTTGAAAGAGGGAAAAGAAAGATAGGATCCGCGCTGGAGCGATGCTTCTGCGAGGCCGCCGGGACTGGGCGGAATCGACAAAAGTCTTGGTCTATCAAGATCTCCAGATGGGTTTAGGGTTTAGGGTGTAGGGTTTAGGGTTCAGGGTTAGGGTTTTAGTTTGCTGAAAGGAGCAAAAATATTCTGTATTTGACCAAGGACCAGGCATGACTTCTTCCCTCGTCTGAGTGTGCTTTACGGATCCTACCGGGCTTATCCAGGAGGGCTTGTATAATTAGGGTCTACATGACCGGTAGTAGTGGCCGATAATTGCCGGACTCATTCTATATAGCCAAGAGGAGCTGCGCAAATGGAAAACCAACAACTATCGCCCCACCCCAACGAAGGACCCCCAAACCCTAAACCCTAAACCCTAAATCCTAAACCCTAAACCCAACCGGTGAGCCTCTCACCGTATGGACAGGCCTGCGTCTTTCCCTCGCGCATCGCGGAGGCTAACATCTCGACGTGCCCCGCCACGGCAACACGGCAGATGCTTCCAGTAGCTAGCCTTTCCTTTAGGGTTTAGGGTTTTGACCCTTAGCTCAGGGTCTAGGGTTTGACCCTAAACCCTAAACCCTAAACCCTAAACCCTAAACCCTAAACCCTAAACCCTAAACCCTAAGGGCGTTCCGAGGCCGGGTCACAAGCGCTGTGCCTGGAAGGCGACACGAACTGGCTCCTGCAGAGCCTTAGCGGCTTCAGATCTTCATAGGCCCTAGGGCTCTAATGCAGCTAGTCCAATATGTAGCTTGGTAGGCCCGTGGGACATTTCATATTTTCCCTTATTGGGCTTAAGAGGATCATATCTGCGAATATATTTCAGAGGGCTTTAAGGGCCATCCTAGGTAGGTTTAAGGGTTTAGGGTTACATTTTTTGCAATAGTGTGCTATAACATATGGTAAGCTTCTAGATAATCAATAATATATTGATAAACGAATGATACTGGTAGCAGTTTGGGGGATTTAGGGGGGTCGGGGGGAGGGGGGTGCAGGAGAGTTTGCGGCTTAGGAGTGGAGGGTCCTTGGTTGGTTGCGGGCAGACCAGGGTCATGTGAAGCAGGTTTAGGGTTTAGGGTTTAGGGTTTAGGGTTTAGGGTTTAGGGTTTAGGGTTTAGGGTTTAGGGTTTAGGGTTTAGGGTTTAGGGTTCGGGTTTAGGGTTTAGGGTTTAGGGTTTAGGGTTTAGGATGTTTTGAAGCATCGGGGATCCATTGACGGGTATACAGAGGGGAGAAAAGTCAGCTGTCTCCTTCATTCCCTACCTTGGAAGGCACTCCCTTTGATCCCACAGCTGCACCTTCAGGGTCCCTCCTTATACCCCAAACCCTAAACCCAAACCCTAAACCCCAAACCCTAACCCTTAAACCCTAAACCCTAAACCTTAAACCCTAAACCCCCCTTAATTCAGGAATGCTGATGGCATTGGTTTTGTGAACTACTGCGGCTGGGCTCCGTACCGTCGGCCCCTGCACGATCCCAACTTCCGGAACGACACCGACTGCCGGGCAGTGATGTCGCCTGTCTTAGGGTTTAGGGTTTAGGGTTTAGAGTTTAGGGTTTAGGGTTTAGGGTTTAGGGTTTAGGGTTTAGGGAAGCTGAGTAACCTGCAACATTTGGGGGGGTATATATCATCCTATCATAGTTGAAAGGTTGTTATACGCGTGAGTGCTTTCAGGATTGATGAGGTTCCCCGAGCCCTGAACCCCACAATGCCTACAATCCGAAAACCCCGAAAACCGAACTCCTCGACCGTAACACACGGCTTTTGGATAAAGACGGCAGTGAGGGATAGACCGATAGACCCGAAAGCCTAAGCCCCAAACCGTAGCAAAGCGGCTTCGAAGCGTTTTGAGGTTAAGGGTGTTAAAAAGCATGTACTATTTCGTGCCAGGGAAGTGCGCGACGCAACCGCTAAGCCATGTGTAGGAACCCACCAAATGAGTTTGAGGCCCATTGGGGTTTAGGGCCTTGGGTTTACTGTACTTTATGGGTGTGAGGGTTAGCGACCAACAAGTTCCTGATGATCGCAAGCCAAACCTTAAACACCAAGCAACAAAAACCCTGAAGCCAGAACTTCTAAACCCTAGAAGCCCTGAGTTTCTAAACCCTAAACCCCTACATGTCTAAACCCTAATAAACCGTAGGTTTCGACACCCTAGCCATAGGCCCTAGATTTCGAAACCCCAAAACCTCGAAGGCAACGACCCGAGGATGACTTCGTTGGGGGCTGTGCTTCAGCAGAGTGCCAGAGCCTCGAGGACCTTTGCACCCCACGATCTTCCCCCCTGAATCCTAAACCCCCCGAATCCCCCTAATTACACCCTGAACCCTAACCGTAGTCAAGGGTTTAGGGTTTAGGGTTTAGGGTTTAGGGTTTAGGGTTTAGGGTTTAAAGCATCCTCGGGTGTAGGGTTTTTTTTGGTCTTGAGGTTGATGGGTTTAGGGTTTAGGGCTAGGGTGTAGGGTTCATTCATCGAGCTAAATTCTAAGCCCGCAGGCGAAAAACTGACGATCTCGTTTGCATTTTCAGAGGTTAGGGCTGGGCTCTCAAGGTTTAGAGGTTTAGATTTAAGATGTCTGTTTCGCAAAGGACAGGTTTCTTATGAGGGAAGGCTTGAGGACTTGTGTGTGCGGCCCATTTGTTTCAGCAAAGGTCCGCTGATGAAAGCCTCCAACCCTCAACTCGAAATCCTATAAGCCTCAGACCCTGAGCTTCAACCCAACCTTGTCATAGTCCCTAAACCCTAAACCCTAAACCCTAAACCCTAAACCCTAAACCCTAAACCCTAAACCCTAAACCCTAAACCCTAAACCCTAAACCCTAAACCCTAGAACCCTAAACCCGTCCACTTATGTTCCGAAACCGCAACCCGGTCTCAAGAGGTTTCCATCCTTCATTTTGGCCATGCATCGGCCGAGAGCCTATAGTTACTCTGAACCTTGACAGACGCAAAAGTTAGTCCCAAGCCTACACACAGCAAGCCCTGAACCCTTGACCCACACTATATCCCCCTTGGGAATTAGTTTTTTCATTTTTTTATATAAAACCCAAGAGGATATTGAAACTATTATTTCTATTAAGGTTCAAAGGGGAGTATAGCCACAAGGCATCCCCCGGCCAAGTAGCAGGAGTGTGTCGCTCGCTGCGATCTGTGCGCGAACTGCTCTGCGGTGCTTTACAACAGCCGCGGTGGGACCGCAATCAGGCCCCTCAATGCGGCGCTGTTTTTGGGCTTTCGGGTTTAGGTTTCCCGAAACCCTAAACCCTAAACCCTAAACCCTAAACCCTAAACCCTAAACTTTAGGGTTGGGGGGGTGCATCTTTTGGGGTACATGAGGGTTGTGGTTCGGTGCCTTGAAAGGCACGTTAGTCGGTTGCGAAGCTGTAGCCTTACCTCGACCCTCAAAAACCCTAAACCCTAAACCCTAAACCGTCTCAGAACAGCTTGTGGCCTCACAGGGAAGGCCTCCACTCTAGCAATCTAGCAACTTTGCAATATAGCAATGTACGAATAGAAGATTTTCAGAATAGAGGAAAGTGGGGATATCGTAGTATAACAATGTTATATGCTAGTGTATTGATATCATAATATGTTATTCGGTCATTATTGAGGAGGAAGGGTGGCTCCTCCTGGTCCGGGCTGAATTGTGCAGTGTTTAGCTGTTTCTGTGTCGGCAAAATTTCCCACTTTTCCGAACCACCACATCACGAATCAGGACTCAAAATTGCCTGAACCCTCCAAACCCTAAACCCGAAACCCTAAACCACCTAAACCCTAAACCTTCAACCCTAGACGACCCGAAACCCTAAACCACCCTAAACCCTATACCCCAAACCCTTAACCCGAAACCCCCAAAACCCCTTTGCCAGGTGCCACATGCAGAGCAACGTCTACGTGGAGTCTTTGCAGACCCCTGGATACCAACAAGTTTCCCAGTAGCGAGCAGGCCTTTCTTTCAGTTCTTGGAGCCTACGAACCCTCAATCCGAAACCCTGCAATTCCGAAACCCCTAAACCCTAAGCCCTAAACCTTCGATCCTAAACCTTGTATGCCAGGGGCCTAGTTGACCTTAACTACTTTGGTATATAGAGACTATATAGAAGAGATGTACATATGTACATATATATATATATCTATTTATTTATAGAATTATGTATAGGGTCATATAGGTGAATAAGATTAAGGGTCCTTCCTCTCTATACGCCCTTTAATGTAACATACACTATGCTTCCACTTCGGGTACCAGACTGTGCTTTAACTCGAGCCCCAGCGCTGCCTCGAAAGTGGCAGACCCTGAACCCTGTAAATCTTTAGGGTTTAGGGTTTAGGGTTTAGGGTGGCAAACGGCAGATGATGCACAAGCAGCTCACAAGGAGCGCCGCGTTCCCTGTCCCATGGTCCTTCTACGAGCCTTGGCACGTTCAGGATTTCAGGCCCTCTTTATCGTGCTGAATCCTAACTCCCGAGTTTTTATAGGGTTAACCTCCAATTCCTATATAGAGAGCTCTGGATTTCTACGGGCGCCGACCCCAAGAGAGCCTGGGCAACCATGCGGAGCTGTCCCGCATCCTAGGAAGCATGGGGGGGGGAACCCCTCTCAGCCCTCTCTCTGACTCAAAAACAGGGGACCTTATTGAGAGGGTCGGCATCCCCCTGGCTGCCCCAACTCCTATCCCCTACCCCAATGCTCCATGTTTTGTTTCTGAGTCCGAGCCCCACGCCCTCAGCCCTTCGAAATCCTGTAAAGCCCCAGAGGCCTTCTCCGGGTAGCTACATGGCCCCTTAAAGGGGGACCTCGTATATACCCAGAGAGGCCCCCTATAGGGTAGTTACATGGCCCCTTAAAAGCGGGCCCCGTATATGCCCAGTATATACCCTACAAAACCTCGGGGCCCATGCTCCAGAACCCTTTTTTAAGGAGGTAAGGGACCATTTTGAGGGCCCATGAACTACCCTTTGAAGCCCCAAACCCCTAAACCCTGAGCCCTAAACCCCCAACCCTAAACCCTAAACCCTAAACCTCCAAACCCTAAACCTCCAAACCCTAAACCCCCAAACCCTAAACCCCTAAACCCCTAAACCCCCAAACCCTAAACCCTAAACCCCCAACCCTGAACCCTAAACCCCCAAACCCTAAACCCTAAACCCTAAACCCCCAACCCTAAACCCTAAACCCTAAACCCTCAGACTCAAACCCTAAACCCTGAACCCTAAACCCCCAAACCCCAAACCCTAAACCCCTAAACCCCTAAACCCTAAAGCCCCCAGCGACCTCCGGCGCTTTCAAGCTCGGTAGCCACTTGGGACATGTTGCATTCTCCCCTATTGGGTTTACGAGGATCATATTCAGGCACCCTAAACCCTGAACCCTAAACCCTAAACCCTTGACCCTAAACCCTAAACCCTAAACCCTAAACCCTATTTTTCAGAAGGTGTTTAGGGGCCATCCTAGCCAAGGTCAACGAGCGAAATGAGGGCTGCCACTCGGTGGAGGAGGTCGACATCCTTGGGTCCCGAGGCGGAGCCTGCTAAACCCTAAACCCTAAACCCTAAACCCTAAGAAAGCCAGCATGAACCCACAGAGGCTGGACGCGACTTACATCCCATGCCCGGTGTACAGGATAATCATGGTGGAGGGTTGAGGGGTTGAGGGTGCCCAAGATTCTCCAAGGAGATACTTGGTTTAGGGTTTAGGGTATAGGGTTAGCTGTGCCCCTGAACCGCCAAGTAAACCCCTCGACCTTGCATAAGGCTGGGACAGATCTTTGGTTAATCTTAGGGTAGTTTCATGGTCCCTTAATACTCTGTGTTCTTAAGTCGGGAACACGTATACCCCTGAAACACCCTATACAGCCCACTGGCACATATAAAGAAGGTAAGGGGCCGGATTTACGGGACAGTCCCTGAGGCCGAATCGTCCCTCACCCCTACAGAAACCCCAAGCCCCACAGCCTAAAAACCATGAACCGGCCCGCCGCAACATAAACGAACCCTTGGGCTGCACCTGGTTTAGGGTTTAGGGTTTAGGGTTTAGTGTTTAGGGTTCAGGGTTTAGGGTTTAGGGTTTAGTGTTTAGGGTTCAGGGTTTAGGGTTTAGGGTTTAGTGTTTAGGGTTCAGGGTTTAGGGTTTAGGGTTTAGTGTTTAGGGTTCAGGGTTTAGGGTTTAGGGTTTAGGGTTTAGTGTTTAGGGTTTAGGGTTTAGGGTTTAGGCCCTTTGGCTGCCCCTGTGTCAGGATTTTTCACGCTAACCATATTTTGCTGTGATAGAGAGCCTCTGGATAGGCTCATGATGTTGACACCCCACCCCCCCCCCCCCCCCCCCCCCCCCCTCCCGCATTTTTCGCGAGTGCGAAACCTTTTGTGTGCGCTCTCGTGGTCAGCGACGGCCATGCTCAAAGCCTTACTAGGGAAAAGCACACAACCCTAAAATCTCCAAAGCCTACAAGCCCTGAGCCCTCCTTAACCAACCAAACCCTAAAACCTTAAACCTTAAACTTAAACCCTATAAACCTGTAAACCCTAAACCCCAAACCCTAAACCCCTAAACCCTAAACCCTAAACCCTAAACCCTAAACCCTAAACCCTAAACCCTAAACCCTAAACCCTAAACCCTAAACCCTAAACCCTAAACCCTAACCCTAAACCCTAAACCACGCAACCAACCAGCCATCAGCCCTTGGTTGGGCCCATAAGCCCTTGGTTGGGTGTAGAGGATGTCCGTGGCTCATGTGAGAAGCAATTGGCTCAAGCTTTCTGAATCAAGGGTTTAGGGTTTCGGGTGTAGGGTTTAGGGTTCAGGGTTTAGGGTTCAGGGTTTAGGGTTTAGGGTTTAGGGTTTAGGGAGTAAGTAGGGATGGAGTGACATCCCGTGTCAAGGTTGCAGCAATGTTGCGGATTCAGATGATGGCTACCGGGGAAGAGGTGGCCTGCATAGAGCCGGAGGAGTGGCTGAGTATTGCCGGCGACAAAAAACTAAGTAAAAAAGCACAAAACAAAATTTCTTCGGGCAACGTACGCACCCTAAAGCTCCATCTCCAAAGGCTCTGTGGACATCCCCGGTTTCGACAGCGGCTCCTGCAAGAAGATGGGCAGATTTTGCCCGAAGAGGCGGTTCTGAAAGGACCTTGCCTATTGCACTTGGTAATTCTGGGCTTTGCCGAGACCTCTGGCGATGACGTTGACAGGCTGCTCCATGCAGTGGAAGCAGATGACACAACACAAGTAGAAGCGATCTTGCAGCGAAACCAAGATCCCAACCGAACAGCGCAACACAACATGACAGCCTTGCATGTTGCAGCTAGGTCTGGCAGGCAAGTCGCCGCAAGGCTGCTGCTCGAAGCTGGTGCGGGAAAGGACCAAACTGAAGACCATGGAGCCACGCCACTGTTCATCGCAGCTCAGAGGGGCCACTTGGAAGTGGCGCGTGTGTTGCTGGAGTTTGGTGCGGACAAGGACTTGGCCGACGCACATGGCGCCACACCACTGTTCATCGCAGCTGAGAACGGCCTCTTGGAGGTGACGCGCTTGTTGCTGGAGTTTGGTGCGTCCATTTACGCGGAAAACGCAAATGGAACCATGCCATCGTTCATCGCAGCTGCGAACGGCCACTTAGAAGTGGTACGCTTGTTGCTGGAAGTTGATGCGGACCTGGACTGGGCCGACGCATGTCTGTCCCTCGCACGTGAGAACGGCCACACGGAAGTGGTACGATTCTTGCTGGAGTTTGGCGCCGTGTCCTGGCCTTAGCAGATGGAGCCACGCCACTGTTCATCGCAGCCGAGAAGAGAAAAATGGAAGTAGCACGTTTGTTGTTGGAGTTTGGTGGAGATGGACACTCGCCATAAAGGTTATAGGCATTTACATGTCTACTCAAGGAGTTGAGGTAGGATTTGAGCAAGTCAGGGGTTAAGGCCAAGGTTTCGGTTGGGTTTAGGATTTAAAGTATATAGGGTTTAGGATCTGCTCAGCCGCAGCAATGTCCTTATGGTACGCAGCTCTCTGAATGAAAACCCTAAACCCTGGTACCCTGGATATTCGCAGGACCCTCAAAATGGGGGACCGCAAGATTGAGGATCTACCACATGTACTGCTGTTTCTGTTCGTTTTGGCTTTAAGTTGTTAAACATAACCACCCGAACCCCGTCTCCCTAAACCCGGGGGGGGGGGGGGGGGGGGGGGGGAAATTTTGGCTTTTTAAGCCTTAAGATGTCATTGGTTCGTTGGGACCCCAAACCCTATAATGGCCCTATAAACCCTGAACCCTACTACAACGCCCTAAACCCAACTTCTACTAACAGTGGGGTACTACAGTCCCTATTAAGGGCTGTTAGTATAAGGGGGATAAGCCCTATAAAGCCCTATAAGCCCTATAAAGCCCTATAAGCCCTATAAAGCCCTATAAGCCCTATAAAGCCCTATAAGCCCTATAAAGCCCTATAAGCCCTATAAACCCTGAACCCTACTACAACGCCCTTTAAACCCCCAAAGCCCGGATTTGAGGCTTGCATGCCAGCCCGTGGCCTGCCACGCTCGAGACACCCTTTGTCACCCTGTGTCATGCGAAACCCTAGGTCCTGGGCGCTAGGCCCCTAAACCCTAAACCCTAAAACTCTAAACCCCTAAACCCTAACATCCTAGAACCCTACAACCCTAGAACCCTAGAACCCTAACACCCTAGAACCCTACAACCCTAGAACCCTAGAACCCTAAAACCCTACAACCCTAAAAACCCCAGAACCTTAGAACCCTAAAACCCTACAACCCTAAACCCTAAAACCCTAAAACCCTGAAACCCTGAAACCCTGAAACCCTAAAACCCTAAAACCCTAAAACCCTAAACCCTTAACCCCTGAACCCTTGAACCCTTGAACCCTTAAACCCTTAAACCCTTAAACCCTTAAACCCTTAAACCCTTATACCCTTATACCCTTAAACCCTTAAACCCTTAAACCCTTAAACCCTAAACCCTAAAGCCCTAAAACCCTCAAACCCGAAAACCTTAAAACCCTAAAGCCTAAACCCTTAAACCCTAAACCCTAAACCCTAAAACCCATAAACCCTTAACCCTAAACCCTAAACCCTAAAACCCTAAACCCAAAAACCCTAAAACCCAAAAACCCTAAAACCCTAAACCAAAAAACCCTAAAACCCTAAAACCCTAAACCCTAAACCCCTAAACCCTAAACCCTAAAACCCTAAACCCTAAACCCTAAAACCCTAAACCCTAAAACCCTAAACCCTAAAACCCTAAAGCACTAAAACCCTAAAACCCTAAAACCCTAAAACCCTAAACCCTAAACCCTAAACCCTAAGCCCTAAACCCTAAACCCTAAACCCTAAAACCCAACCTGCGGCCCATCCGAGCAAGGGCTGACGCAGGCCTTGGGGACTCGATAGATTGGCATCATGCCCTGTACGCACTATAGTGACCCTAGACCCTAAACCCTAAACCCTAAACCCAAAATAGTTAGAGTCTAGGGGCCTAAAAGAAGTAGGGTAGCGCGTTTTAGGGTTTCGGGCTTAGGGCTTAGAATTTAGGGGCCCCAAACCCTAGAGGGTGTAATCCAGGGGCTCAAAGAAAAAAAGAGTAGGGTTTTGTTGGTTAGTATAGTATAAATGTAAAGGGACCATGAAGGAATACCATTAGTAATTCTTCCGACCCCCAAAATTAGCGTCCCTTAGATCTAAGGGTAGTTTCATGGGCCCTTAGTATGGTCCCTTACCTCCTTTAAAGGGTTCTGAGGTATGGGCCCTTGGGTTGTAAGGGGTATATAGGGGGTGGCCCATACTACGGGACCATGTAACTACCCCTAAACCCTAAACCTGAAACCCTAAACTTTAGCCCTAAGCCCTAAACTTTAGCCCAAAACCCTAAACCCTAAACCCTAAACCCTAAACCCTAAACCCTAAACCCTAAACCCTAAACCCTAAACCCTAAACCCTAAACCCTAAACCCTACAGGTGTCCGGGGCTTCCGTCTCTTTGCCGACCTGGGCTGCTCGAAGGAGCTGGTACCAGACCAGGCGGCCGGGTTGAAGCATTTGAGAGTTTAGGGTTTAGGGTTTAGGGTTTAGGGTTTAGGGTTTGGGGTTTAGGGTTTGGGGTTCAGGGTTTGGGGTTTAGTCTTCCCTGCTTCTTATAAGTAGGGAATGAGGGAATGAGGGCCCTATATACAGGTCTATATATATATATATATATACCCTTGAAGGCGTTGGATAGGACCCTAATTCCCTCATTCCTGCCTAAGAACCAGCCAGTCTTAGGCGTTAGGGCCCCCATTGTTCTTAGGTTTGAAGCGCGGCTTAAGGGCTTTAATGAAAGGGGGTTTAGGTTAGGGTTTACGGTGTAGGGTTTAGGGTTTCGGGTCTTTGTTGTTAGAGTCCGAGGGTGTTGGGTCTAAATGGGGTATTTCGGGCATCTTCACGGGTATTTCGGGGGGGGGTATAGGTCGTAGGGTTCAAGTTTTGGGCCTGGGTGGAGTTAGGGTGAGGTTTAGGGATGAGCGTGTCAGGCTTAGGGATGAGGATTGAGGGTTTAGGGGGTTTAGGGAGTTTGGGCAGGCTTGGGACTGGGGGTTTAGGCGAAAGCTCACCTCCTCAACCTCCTCATGGCTAAATATAATGTAACCCCCCTTCCACCCCCCGGCCAGAATGCGGCGAAGGGTTTAGGGTTTAGGGTTTAGGGTTTAGGGTTTGGGGTTTGGGGTTTAGGGTTTAGGAAAGTTTAGGGTTTGGGGTTTGGGGTTTGGGGGGCTATAACCCAGCAAATCCTTCGTTCATGCCCAAGAAGCCTGGCACGAGAAGAGTTTGAGTGTTTGGCGTTTAGAGGCTTCTGATATACAAAATGATGGGTTTAGGGTTCAGTGTTTAGGGGATATAAGCAAGATGGGTTTAGGGTCTACACTTGCGCCGAACCACCCCAGCTGTGCAGCCCAAAAGAATCCTGGCACGCTAAATCCCATCCGTACCCCATAAACCCTAAGCCATATAGCTTTGGCCCGACACCCTAAACCCTAAACCCTAGACCCTAAACCCTAAACCCTAAAGCCCCCCTGGACTCCAGGTCTTTGCACTGGATGGTGGGGGACTGGTGCGCCTGGAGGGCCTTTGGGTGCTTGGCATCGCAATTTGGGGGGAAATGGGGTTTAGGGTTTGGGGTTTAGGGTTTAGGGTTTAGGGTTTAGGGGGTACCCATGGGAGGCCATCGTTTAGATTGTTTTTATTATCAGCCTCCGAGTTGTTTTGGCTTCGTTTAGTCTCGGAGGTCCCCTTTATAAGGCTCCATGTCGTATTCAGGAGCCCCCGGCCAAAAAAAAAAGAGATTCCAAACCCTAAGCCCTAAACCCTAAACCCTAAACCCTAAACCCTAAACCCTGAACCCTGAACCCTGAACCCTGAACCCTGAACCCTAAGAACAAACAAAAGAGGGAAGATTATCCAAGACGAGAACCGAGCAAGTGGCAGGCAGGTTCCACATGGACTGCGCCCCGCAGCCTTCAGCCTTAGAACCCGTAAACCCTAAAAGCCCCAAATAAGGTTTTTAGGGTTTAGGGTTTAGGGTTTAGGGTTTAGGGTTTAGGGTTTAGGGGGTTGGGGGTCTAGGACCTTCTTTTTTGCAGGGCTTGAGGCTGAGTGAGGTTAGGTTTATGACTTTTTGCAGTGGGAATCTTCCACGAAGGGATCCCTGACTGTCTTGTTGAAAAAATTGCTTGCCATCTCTGTTCAGTTTCCATCGTTCCACCCTGCAAAGATCATGACCCAGGAGTTTATGTACCTGAAGACTGTGGTTTCTTTTTTTTTTTTTTCCGTGGGGTTTCGCATCAGGGTAGTTCTCTAACCTAGGATCCATTCTTGGATCCCCCCCGAAATGGGAAGGAACCCAAATAGCGATCCTAACTTTTCGAACTATTGACCGCATTCTTGGTACATGGGCCCGTTCCCAAGCCTCGGGAACGAACTGAATGAACCCCAAGAAGGACCCCCCGGTTCTGAGTAGGGAATGAGGGAATGAGGGCCCTACATGTACCCTTTAAGGAATTATCGAGGGGCCTCATTCCCTCATTCCCTGCTAAGAACCAGCCACAGGTCTGTGGTTCAGATCCCTGAACGTGCAAGATCTCAATTGTGGGGTTCATTTCGGGCCCCAAGCCATCTCCGTGACCCCCCAAGCCCCTCCAAACCCTAAACCCTAAACCCTAAACCCTAAACCCTAAACCCTAGACCCTAGACCCTACACCCTAAACCCTAAACCCTAAACCCTAAACCCTAAACCTAAACCCTAAACCCTAAACCCTTTGAGGGAATGTTGTGATGTCGAAGTCCTCAGCTGAGGTGCCTCGTTGTGCCCTGGCCGGCCACTGCTATGCCGGAGGCAAGTGCACGGGTTTAGGGTTTAGGGTTTAGGGTTTAGGGTTTTAGGGTTTAGGGTTTAGGGCTATAATATAGGGGTCGGAATAATTACCAATGGTATTCCCTCATATATGGTCCCTACTAGACCAAAACCCTACTCTAGTTATAAAGGCCCCTGTATTGCACCCTTTAGGGCTTTGGGTTTCGGGTTCTTTTGGGGTTCTCTTGGGGTTCGAAGCACCACTTGGGGATGATCCGCTATATACCAAATTCTGGCCCATACTCTTGGGGTCACAGCGCCATGGTTGATACTTCGTGTATGCATCTACGCACGCAATTATGGAGAGTACCATGGCTGATATGTTGGGGTTTAGGGTCTAGGGTTTGGGGTTTAGGATTTAGGGTTAAGGGTTCAGGGTTTAGGGAACCCTGAACCCTGAACCCTAAACCCTTTGGATAACACGCACATAGGCTCAAGGCGAGTATTGTGTGGTCCATCTACTTGGGCTGTTTATCATGCTCGGGCCTCTGCTAGGGAATGTTGTCGAATTTCTGGACACCACAAGCTATGACTCCTTAGAATACTCCGATCAGAGACTCCCTCACAACAGGGCAGATGGTTTTGGATGAGCCATGTGGCTTCCGGGGTACCGATTATCATATGGGCCTTTACATTTCGGTTACACCCAGTTCCATACTGTACATCAGGCCCCAAACGGGCGCCCTACACGCTAAAGACAGCGGCCCTGCACGAAGTCTGTTGTAGGGGGAACCCAACTCCCAGCACGTGGAATCTCAAAGCCCGACTCAAAAACCCCAAAATCTCCACAGTTAATGCGGAAGGGAGGACCGGGGTGTTTAGGGTTTAGGGGTTTAGGGTTTAGGGTTTAGGCTTTAGGGTTTTGGGTTTAGGGATGGAGAGGGGATGAGAGTCATGAGAAGTGGGGAAACAGGAATGCGCACGGCCCGGGCAGAGGCGGACTTAGGGCACTGGCCCTGTGATCTGGCTCTCTGGGTTTCGGGTTTAGGGTTTAGGGTTTGTTGTTTGGGGTTTAGGGTTCAGGGGGCGGAGGGAATGTTTTCTTCATACTCGAGGTAAGGAACTTGTGACCTACTTGTTCATACTTGCAGCCCAATTTAGGGTCCTAAACCCTAAACCCTCAACCCTAAACCCTAAACCCTAAACCCTAAACCCTAAACCCCAGGCCCTCCCAGCAGGTGTCAGCTTGATGGCCACCTTCAACTCTCCGCAGGTGGTGCGCTGTGCACTTGTAGATGCCGGGGGCCCAATTCTTGGGTTTAGGGTTTAGGGTTTAGGGTTTAGGGAGCCAAAGTAGATGAGGCTTTTCATTTTGTGTTGGGGGGCTCCTCAATGCACCTCATCATCATGGTATGACGTGTTTGTCATGTTACAGTATCCCCAATGCTGCACCCCGTACGTACACTCACCAAATGTTTGAGGAACCCTATCGAATAGAGTATAGACGTGCCACAAACCATAGTAGCACAGCCCTACCTTAAAGAGGATTGTCCTCGTTCCAGGCACAAGCACAACATTGGAGCCCAACTAACTGCCTATATTTTCGCCCTTCGTGTATTTCGCTGTATAAGTCCACCACATACTCGTTTAGGGTTTAGGGTTTAGGGTTTAGGGTTTAGGGTTTAGGGTTTAGGGTTTAGCACCCTGGCCGACCCTGTCTATGCACATGGGCCTCGAGGACTTCACAGCTTGGTTCCACTGTTGCTGACACTTGCAACGCACTCGGTCACTCGTGCACAGTTTGCAGAAGCACTTTTTTGTCCCCTACCTCCCACCCCCCCCAACCCCCACCCCCACCCCCCCCCCCCCCCCCCGCCCCCCCCGCCCCCCCCCCCCCCCGCCCCCCCCCGCCCCCCCCCGCCCCCCCCCAAAGAATATAAAAAAAAACAACGAAGCGAGTTCTCTTCACGAGACTCAGGGCCCTAAATCCTCCCCCCCTAAAAGCTAAACCCTAAACCCTAAACGTCCAAACGGTGCTCAAAGGCGAAGGCTCCTGACAAGTTCAGCCGCGGGTGGAGGTTGGCGAAGAACTCGGCGGAGCTCTCAGGACAGGAAAAGGGAGTTCTGGGTTTTGTAAAGGGTTTAGGGTTTTGGGTTTAGGGTTTAGGGTTTTGCAGTTAGGGTTAGGGTTTCGGGTTAGGGTTTGGGGTTTGGGGTTTGGGTTTAGGGTTAGGGTGCGTGCGTGGTATGGGGAGTTTTTGGCTTCTTCCTTAGAGCAAGGCGACCGGTTTGCAGGAGCTTCATTGTAATCTAGATGCCTGACCCTAACCCCTAAACCCTAAACCCTAAACCCTAAGCCCTAAACCCTAAACCCTAAACCTCAAACCCAAACTCCACAGCCCAACCGCGCCTCACAGACCATGAACATACCGTGCACCACCGGGGGCTGGGGGGGATTAGGGTTGGGGGGGGGGGGGGAGGGGGCCAGCATGAACACTGGCGCATACAGTCCATAACTAGCTTCACGGAGGGAAATTCAAGCCTTCCAGGGTTAATAAGGGTTTTGGGGGGGTATAAGAGTAGATCTATAAAGGACCAGAAGGGAAGAATAGTACTGAGGGTTTTGTGGGTTATAAGAGTATAACTCAAAAGGGGCCATAAGGGAATTCATATTCGCAATTATTCCGCCCCCTCTTGTTTAAGGCTCGAGTGAGCAAGCAGAGCCTCGCCGCAGCTCCCAACCCTTCAGGGTTGAAGGGTATCAGCTGGGATGTTCCGCCTTATACTAAAACAGTCCTTCATAGGGATTATGATAGGGGGTACTAGATTCCTTATGAAGGACGCTTAGTATAAGGGGGAGCGTCCCGAGGTGGACGTCACTGCAGGCGGATCCCAGTTTTGCAGCGACTTAGTCGAGACTACTCGTTGCACTCAAGCTTGCCTCCTGCCCAAAAACATGGTCATGCCACGGGCTGCCAAAGTCTGGGTTCAGAAATGCCATGTCACTGCGGATGGGCACACATCACCATGGATCGCTTTGTATAAAGCTTGTACCCTCAACCCTAAATCTTCATAGCTATCGCAGATTCCTGACATGATCGTTTTGCGGACACCCGGAAGGAGCTGTATTGTCATAGGATCTCAAAGAAGGAGCCAGATCGAGGGCGTGCATGTAGCTACTGCGTCGGGGCTATGTTTTGGGGGTCTTTGGAAGTGGGACCCGTTCCCCCACTCCCGCAAGTTCAAGCATAAGTTGCCCTGACTCAGGGCTTAGGGTTTAGGGTTTAGGGCTCAGATAAAGAGCTGTAAGGGCTTACTTGAACCGCGCAAATGCCATACTTACTGCTTATGTTGACGGACACCTAAGTAAGTCTCAAGCCATAAAACTTCCACCCTCAATTTCATCATCGTAAATATTTCCCGAAGTTGCAGAGTCACCAAACCAAGCACCGAGCTGGCACGCGGCAGGACTTTTGAAGGACCTGGCGCAAGCTGAGTGGCTTGAGGCTGGGCATCCATTGGGAAACCTTGACACTGGGGCACGAAAAAATTCCGAAGGTTTTGGACAAACGCAGGAGCAAGTTGGCCTGGCTCGCAAACGGCTGAATCTAGATTGGGCCAGCCCTGCAATTGCTTGACCTGATCTCGTGTGTTTCACTGCAGTATACTTCATCGCCTGATTAGGTATTTGCACAAAGAAAATTCAAGCATGTAGCAACAATGAACGATTGCCACGAAGCGACAGATCAAGGCTTGCTTTGTTTAGTTGGAGAAAGGACAGCGGCCGAACTTAGCCCCTTGACAGACAGGCAGTAAAATGAATCCGTCTTGGCGGAAACCTTCTAAAGTTTTGGGGCTTAGCGGACGTAAGCCTAAACCCTAAACCCAATAACACTACACTAAACGCTTAACCCCAAGCCCTGAACCCTAGACCCTAACCCCTTAAACTTTTCTCCTAATCCCTCAACCCTCGCATGGCTGCTGGGTGGCGAAGCCCACGCCCTTTACCCTGGACTCTGACCCCACAAACCCTGGATCTTGCGGTTCGTTCACTTTTGAATGGTTTAAGGTTTAGGGTTTTCGGGCTTAGGGTAATCTGAATGAAGCTTCGCACAACTCATCTTCCTTCGTGCCCTTTAAATGATGGATTTATGCTTCTCTTTCACGCATTCCAAGGCAGGACCAATCAACCAGAAACCCTAAACCCTAAACCCTATACACCCGAAACCCTAGCCCCAACTCAACCTTGGGGCTTCCTAAGGGGGGACCAATCCCCTAGACGCCAAGGCATTGGTTGGGGTTTGGCGTTTTTAGGGCCCCCCCTTCCCCAAAAGCGGTAGTTCTTGGGATGTGCCGCCTCAGATTACCAGTCCTTGATAGGGATGATAATCGGGGGTACTAGAATTCCTATGTAGGCGGAACATCTCAAGGTAGTTCTCTCCAATAGGGTCCCTTTTTTTGGATCCCCTACATAGTACGGCGCCTTGCTGAAAGTACCTGAACCCTGAACCCTAAACCCTAAACCCTGAACCCGAAAAACCCTGAACCCTGAACCCTGAATCCTAAGCCCTAAACCCTAAACCCTAAACCCTAACCCTAAACCCTAAAACCCCCGTACGAAGGTGGCGCGTTCCGGAGCGAGCCTGGGTGTGCGGGCCAGCTGGGATGGCATCACCGAGGTTTGCGTGTTTGGGAGGAGGGTGTGGAGGGTTTAGGGTTTAGGGTTTAAGGTGAAGGGCTTAGTGCCTCGGGGGTCTTGATAGGGTTTAGGGTTTCGGGTGAAGGTGTTAGAGCCTGGTCTTGATAGGGTTTAGGGTGTCGGGTGGAGGCTTTAGAGCCTCGGGGTCTTGATGGTCTTTGGCCTGCGAGGGTTCGGGATTTTGCTGATTGTTTGCGATGTTACATAAACATATGCAGGGTGCTGGCAGAGTTTTGGACTAGGCTAGAGATCTAACCATATAGAACCCTAAACCCTAAACCCTAAACATGAGCAGTGGCAACAATAGGGAGTTTTGATTCGGGTGCTTTTGTCTATCGGACCGGCAGGGTCTTTGAGTAGCGCTTACCTGCAAAGCTTCTGGAAGCGGTTGGGCAGCCGCCTGGGTGCCCAGAGTTAGGGTTTAGGGTTTAAGGTTTAGGGTTTCGGGTTTAGGATTTAGGGTTTAGGGTCTAGGGTTCAGGGTTTAGGTTGAAGGAGCAGTATGCTTAGAATGACCACGAGCCTCGATTTCTGCAAGCAGCCAGCGTTTAAGAAATGGGGCGCTGGATGCTGCGAACTGTAAACCCTAAATTCCTAAACCCTGAACCCTAAACCCCCTTGGGTGAAGGGAGCCAAGAACCTGAATTCCTAGACCTTGTTTTAGACTTCTAGCCTAGAACCTAAGCGACGGGCCAGGGGTCTCCCAGTTCCCCCATCCCTTCAAATCCCGAACCCCAATCCTCGAACCCTTCAATACATGGACCTTTGAACCCCAAAGCCCCAAACCCTAAACCCTATACCCTAAACCCCAAACCAAAAACCCAAACCCTAAACTCTAAACTCTAAGCCCTAAACCCTAAACCCTAAACCCAAACCCTAACCCCTAAACCCTGAACCCCAAACCCGAAACCCTCAACCCTAAACCCTAAAGCCTAAAGCCTAAACCCTAAACCCTAAAGCCTATACCCTAAACCCTAAACTCCAAGCCCTAAACCCTAAACCCTAAACCCAAACCCTAAACCCTGAACCCTGAACCCCAAACCCCAAACCCTAAACCCTAAATCCTAAACCTTAAACCCTAAACCCTAAACCGAAACCTAAACCCTAAACTCTAAGCCCTAAACCCTAAACCCTGAACCCCAAACCCGAAACCCTAAACCCTAAACCCTAACCCCTAAACCCTAAACCCTAAACCCTAAACCTAAACCCCAAATCCTAAACCCTAAACCCTTAAAGTCCTGAGCTCTTCCAAGTCCCGAACCCTTTACTCCCGACTCGGAAGCCTTGAAACCTCGACCCTACTGCTCCCACTCCTCATGTCTATGGGGTTTAGGGTTTAGGGTTTGGGGTTTGGGGTTTAGGGTTTAGGGTTTAGGGTTCAATATGTTCAGTTCTCTAAATTTTGGCCCCTTTTAGGGGTGCCCTAAAAAAGAGGGGCCGCCTTAGAATAAGGACCCCCAAATGGGACCATATTTTTCTGAAGTGACCATATCTTTTTGTTGTACATATCAAGTCCACTTCATATTTTTCCGCGGCCTGCCACGTAGTCAGGATTTCTGCAACTCGAAACCCAAAGCCGCTGAACCCTGAACCTTAAGCCCTGCACCTTCTGAACCCTAAGCCCTAAACCGTCTGAACCCTAAACCCTAAGAACCCTAAGCCCTAAACCCCTAAACCCTAAACCCTAAACCCTAACCCTAAACCCTGCACCCTAAACCCTAAACCCTGAACCCTGAACCCTGAACCCTCACGCCGAAGACGGCTGAGAGGTCAACGTGTCCTCTCCTGGGCCGCTGGGCATCCATGATCTCAACAGGGTTTGGGGTTTGAGGGGTTTTAGGGGTTTAGGGTTTAGGGTTTGGGGTTTGGGGTTTGGGGGTTTAGGGTTTAGGGTTTTTGGGTTTGAGGGTTTGAGGGTTTAGGGTTTGGAGTTTGGGGTTTAGGGTTTGAGGGTTTAGGGTTGAAAATTTAGGGTTTGAGGGTTCAGGGTTTAGGGTTTAAGGTTTAGGGTTTAGGGTTTGGGGTTCGGGTGTTTGTGGTTTTAGGGTTAGCATGTTCCCCCTTATGCTAGCAATCCTTCTTAGGACGGTTTAAGGTTTTGGGTTCGGGGCTTCGTTTTCTTAATGTATATGTCTTTTCATGGGTTACAAGTTCTAGGATTCTCGTCTTTTAGGGGTTAAGAGTTGGGATTTGGGATGTAGGCTTTTGCGGTTTGCAGGGTTAGGTTAATTTAAGGGGTCTAGGATGGTGAGTTCAGGGTGAAGCCTGCACGAAGGGGTCTACGGCCTCCCAATACCTCCAAACCCTAAACCCTAAAGCTTCAACTAGTAAACCCGAACACCCCAAGCCTTAAGACCCAAAAGCCCTAACCAAGCCCGAAACCCTAAAGCCCTAACTGAACCCGAAGACCCTAGCCCCTAAAAAGCCCTAAAGCCCTGACTAACTAAACCCAAAGCCCTAAACTTTCAAGTTCTAGACCCTGAGCCCTAAACCCTAGACCCTCAACACCCAAATCTCGACCCAGACACCTCTTATGCAACCCTATGTCAAAGCTTCGGCGCGCGAGGGGAGGCTCCTTGGATGCCTGGGATGCCCAGCACAGAGGCGGGCTTAGGGCTTAGGGCTTAGGGCTTAGGGCTTAGGGCTTAGGGCTTAGGGTTTAGGGTTTAGGGTTTAGGGTCTCAGGCAGGTTGAAGGGGGGTGGGGGGGAATGTGAGGCTTTCGGGCTTTGTCTTCCCCCGAAAATATTGAATAATCATCCCTGCTTTGCCTTTATTATGGGGGGTTCTTAAGCAAATAGTAGTAGGCACGACCCTAAACCTTCAGGATTTATGACACTTTCAGGAATGGGGTGCAGGGCAGGTTTGGGGTTTAGGGTTTAGGTTTGGGGTTTAGGGCTTAGGGTTTAGGGTTTTGACCCCTACTAAGGACCCATGTACCTTAAAGGTAGGGGCTGGGACGTTGAAGTACTGTGGGGTCGGAATAATTACTAATTGTATTTCCTTAGGGTCCCTTTATGATTATACTATAATGGCCCCCAAAACCTTGCTTTACTTATTCAAACCCTAAACCCTAAACCACAAACTTCTGAAGTGCACGGAGGCAGGGCTCATCGTCCTGGTGATTGTCGGGCTTCCTTTCGGGACTCGTAGTCACTTACTCTACTTGAAAGTTCATGGTATTTGTTGACGAATTAGAGCTGTTCCTATATCTGTACTTCTAACCATATGAGTGCCCTTAAGGGGCTTGTAAGTGGGTCATGAGTACAGATCTACTTGGGTACCCTGAACCTCCAAGCAAGCCCCTACTTCACAGAGTGGGCCCTCCTAAACCCCCTGAACCCTAAATCCTAAACCCTAAACCCTAAACCCTAAAACGACTCCGTGTTTTCTTTTCAGGCATGGAGGGTGCCAGCAACCTGCTGTCCGTGCTGTCGCCCCGTGGCCTGCATACTCACGCAATGCCGAGAATTCTGACTTTAGGGTTTAGGGTTTCGGGTTGCAGGATTTAGGGCATTTAGGGTTTAGGGTTTAGGTCTTCGGGTTTAGGGTTTAGGCTTTCTAGAGCACAACTAGGACTTACAGCGGCTGAGTATAGGCCCTAAACCGTAACCCTACAATCCTTCAACCGAGGGGGCGTCATCTGTAGGTCATAGGAACATGCTGAGGCTCATGAGCCTGGAAAAGGGGGGATGCTATCTAGAAGAGTCTTCTATTGGGAGAGACCAATATCCAGATTTGGGGCTGAAGGTCTACACAGCCTAAAGAGCTTTTAACCCTGACCAAAGCAATCCAAAGCACCCTCAACCCTAGACACCCTAAAGACCCTTAACACCCTGAGCACCATAAGCACCCTAAGCACTATGTAAACCCCAAAGGCTTGCGGTGTCGGGCTTAAAACGTCTGAGGATCTTGGTCGCGCTGCTGGCCGGTGGGCTTTGCTTGCTTGCAGGCCGAGGGGAAAAGGGAGGGTGGCAGATAGGGAGTCGTCTGCCAAGAGGGCTTAGGGTAATTACAAGGAATACCAACCGTCGTTATATAATATGTATATTCTGATTATGAGCACCAACGAATCATTTTGATGCCTCGAGCAGGGTTTCGAGGATGCCGGCGGGTGGCAGTAGCTGGTTATACGGTTTAGGGTTTAGGGTTTAGGCTTTAGGGTTTAGGGTGGGGAGTCATGCATCTATGGGGTGCACGGTTTTGGGAAATTTGGGCTCAGGGCTTGAGGCAGTCATATCTTCGAGGCTCTAGGGACTGTGCCTGCCAGGTCTCTGGGTCCCAGGGCCCGTGTTATGTCACGCTGTGTGTGTGTTTGTTTTTATTTCTTGGTTTTTGTTTCTTTGTCATTATTGCTATTATTTGTTATTTGTATGCTTGTAATTCATTGTATACTTTTTTTTTTGGGGGGGGGGGGTCTGGGCTTCAGGGGTCAGGGGCGAGGTTCGGCGAGGGTGGGCATAAAGAGCCAGGAAGTGCAAAACTACGAGCTCTTATAAAGCATCTCAAGAGTAGCCCATCCGCCCGAAGCCCGAAGCACCCTAAACCCCAAGCAGCCTAAACCCAACACCCTAAACACCACACAAACAAATGCGTGGTCGATGCGGAAAGCCGATTGAAACGGCCAGGCGCTTTCCTCTACATCCGTCCACTCGTGCGAGGACCCTCACGACCAATCAGGTGCCATGGCATCACGGTGTGTGCAGGGTTTAGGGTTTAGGGTTTGGGGTTGAGGGTTTAGGGTTATTGGGGTTTAGGGTTTAGCGTTTAGGGTTTAGGGTTTAGGGTGTTGAGGCAAAAGGGCGCCAAGGGTGGAGATTGCGAGAGAGAGAGGTATATTTACGTTAGCTGTGTGACTTACTAGAACCGATGCCCGAAACGTATCGGGTAAAGTTTCGGGTTGAGGGTTTACCTAGACCGAACTTGTCTACCCTCAGTAACGGGGAGATTTTCCGAATCATGAAGGTGCATTTCCCTTTTTTTAGGATATATATAGGTATATATATATATATAGGCACATGTATATATATATATGTATATATGTATATATACATATGTATGTATATATACATATATATATATATATTTATATCTGCTACTCTAGGTAGGGCCCAGGCTGCAGATCCCTGCTTGCTGAGGCTGGAGGGACGGGTGCCCCCAATCATGCTGCCTCCGGCAGCTGTGCGTCTGGAGGAGGCTTGTTGGGGGTTTAGGGTTTAGGGTTTAGGGTTTAGGGTTAGGGTTGGAAGCCTTCACCTTTGGAAGTACACCATGGAAGCCCTTGCCCTCCCCAAAACGGTGGAGTTGCGTTTCGGGTTGAGGGCTTGGGGTTTAGAACGGAAGGCATGAAGTAGTAGGTGATTTAGAAAATGTAGTTGTGTTTTTTCTTTTTCTTTGGGGGGGATGGGGGGTGGGGGTTGCGCCCATTTAGGGTTGATGGGCCCTTATGATCGCTGACGCTCAGAACCTTCTGTCTTTTCGCGAATCCCAAAGATCATATTCCCGGCATCTACTTTCATAAGTTGGCAATCCCAATCCAGGGCCATGTGCCATAAAGCCGTTTCGGGCCTGGAGGCCCTTACGCCCCCAACTGCTGAAAGCCCAAGCCCTCAGCCCAAAACTCTGAGCCTCGGAACCCTGAAGCCTCAAGCCTCCAACCTCCAAGCCGCTAAAACCCTAAAAAAGCCCTAAACCCCCCCCCCCCCCCCCCCCCCAATTCCGAAGGTTTTTTCGGAGCCCCGAATACCCTTAAAAAGACCCGAACCCTAAACCGCTCACGAAGGAGGGGCTTCCCAAACCCTAAACCCTAAACCCTAAACCCTAAACCCTAAACCCTAAACCCTAAACCCTAAACCCCAAACCCTAAACCCTAAACCCTAAACCCTAAACCCGAAGGAGGGGCTGAGATTGGACCACATCGAGGTGTCTGCTGGCATCCTTGAGGCGGAGCCGGACCAGGAGCGCCGTCTTGTCAAAGCCCGACTGAATTGGGGGCTTTGAGGTTCCAGGTGTTGGGGTGTAGGGTTTAGGGTTTAGAGAGAGTGACTTTGGCACCTCGAGGGGTTGTGCTCTTTCTTCTCACGGGTGCGGCTGGCTCCTCTGGGCTTTAACTAGGACCCGGAGTAGGCTTTTCTTCCTTCTTTTTGTGTTGGGGTTCCCTTACAATCCCTCAAAAACCAAACGTTACCTTTTTTGTTCCTAGCTTCTCAATCAAGATCGCCTTATTTGCGGCATGATCGGCCTTTCTCGCTTCTAAGGTACCCTGGACCAATATAAACCCTATGAAGCCAGGTAAGCCTATGAACCTCATCAACCCAGCCAACCCAAGAAACCCAACAAACCCTGGACCTGAGAAAACCCTGGAACCGAGACCCTAAACTTCTGAAATCTCCTGACGCAAGATGCAGTAAATCCCACCTTGGCCCTAAACCCTAAACCCTAAACCCTAAACCCTAAACCCTAAACCCTAAACCCTAAACCCTAAACGAGCTCGTGGTGGAGGCGTCAGAGCAGCACCAAGAGGCCCCTCGGCTGGCCTTCGCCGGTCCGGACGTGGCCTGGCACATGAGAGCAGGGACTTGGGCACCTTACAGAACCCAAAACCCTAAACCCTAGCCCTAAACCCTAAACCCTAAACCCTAAACCCTAAACCCTAAACCCTAAACCCTAAACCCTAAACCCTAAACCCTAAACCCTAAACCCTAAACCCTAAACCCTAAACCCTAAACCTAAGGAGCTGTTAGAAAAAGGGGTAAGAATAATTCCATAATAGCCTTAAACCCTAACCCTTTTAACCGAGTAGCCTGGATGGTGGTTTCAGGGGGCTGAGATTGTAAGGGTTCAGGGTGGCTTGATGGGGCTCGCGCCGCTCCAGCTTTCTGGCTCAGGGTTTGGGGCTGTAGGATTTGGCGAAAATGAGGTCACAGCTCAGCAGATGCTTCTTCCCCAAACCCTAAACCCTAAACCCTCAACCCAAGGAGCTGTTAGTATAAGGGGTAAGCTTATTCGGTAAGAGTAATACCATAATAGCCTTAAACCCTAACCCTTAACCCTAAACCCTGTTCTAATTATTAAGGCCCCAATATGAACAACCCACAGCAACCAAGCCCTGGGTTTAGTCTAAGGGTGTTTTCATGGACCCTTCATATGGTCCCTATCCTCCTTCAATGGGTTCTGACGTATGGGCCCTTTAATATGAATAGGGTATGTAAGTACTATATAAGGGGCACCCTCTGGAAGGCCCATGTGAAGGGACCATGTAACCACCCTTACACACTCCGATCGAGTCACGGGACTCTACCTTGGCCCCCTGAGGTGGTGCCCTTGGGTATATAGGGGGTACCGTTTTAAGGGCCCATACCAAGGGAGCATGTCAACCTACCCTAAACCCTAAGCCCTAAACCCCAAACCCCAAACCCCAAACCCCAAAACCCAAATCCCAAACCCCAAACCCTAAACCCTAAACCCTAATCATTAAAGAACATGCAGCTATCCTTAGAGCTTAGAGGCCTTTGCGCAGCTCCAAGCCCTGCTGGACTTCACCCACCTCTCGGCCAGGACAAGCTTAAACCCACTTTTGGTTTGGAGTTTAGGGTTTAGGGTTTAGGGTTTAGGGTTTAGGGTTTAGGGTTTAGGGTTTAGGGTTTAGGGTTTAGGGTTTAGGGTTTAGGAGTAAACCCACTTTTCTGCAGGATCTGGGGCGCACGCGCAGATGAAGCCCATAGTCAGGAGAGTTCTATCCTACTGCTTTGTACGTGAGTAAACCCTGAACTCGAAACACTCTGTAACTCCGGATGTTCCCCCACTAGCCGTCCTTAATAGGGATTATAATCAGAGGTACTATAATCCCAATTAAGGACTGATAGTATAAGGGGGGACACCCAAACTCTCAACCTAAACTGCGCGATCTGATAGCAGGACCGCCGCTGCTGGTGAGGAAGCCGCTCGACGAAGACATGGTGTAGGGTTTAGGGTTTAGGGTTTAGAGTTTTTAGGGTTTATAGGGTTTAGGGTTAGGGTTTAGGTAGCTTGAAACTCCAACAAAAAAGCCCCCAAAGGGAGCCTCATGTCAAGCAACCTCCCGCAGAACCGAAGGCATTGATGAAGTCTACTACCCTGGCAGCCAGCTGTTGCGTTGCTTTCCTAAGCGTCTATCCATGATGCATATGGTGCCCTGAAACATACTTATCAGGGCTTGAGGTTTAGGGTTTAGGGTCTAGGGTTTAGGGTTCAGGGTGCAGGGTGTAGGGATTAGGGTGTACCTAGTCATTCCATGAGACGTACTTCAAATAGAACCCAAAATTTGTTAACCTTGCTCACGCTAGACTAGAAGGCCCTAAACCGAAAGGCCCTTAACCCACAACAAACCCTAAACACTCAACCCCGAACCCTAGACCCTAAACCCGAAAGTCCTATTTGTAGCGCAACTTAGTAGTAGATTACCTTTCAACATTTTGGGGTATTCTAATCCGTATAGAATCCCAAAGGTTAACCTTTACTTTCCCCAGGTTACCGGACAACTAGGCAATGGGCTTTTAGGGCGTTGTCATAGAGTCCCAACAGGCCGAGAAGCAGCCGATAGCGGGAGTCCAGCTGCGCCAAGCCTTGCAAATTATCCAGGAGCCCCTCTGCTTAGGACTCACGAAACAGGGTTTATATGTATAGGGTTTGGGGTTTAGGGTTCAGGGTTTGGGGTTTAGGGTTTAGGGTTTAGGGTTTTACGGTTTAGGGTTTATGGGATTTTTAAGGGTTCGAAGTTATGGGGCTACGTAGGGCGATATCGGGACCGTTGGGAGTCAGGGTTCACAGTATGTAGGCTGCATCTCTTTGGATGATTATCAAAGGTGTGTATCATGAAGAACATCACCCTAGACTAAATTTGAGGAGACTGTTCGTGTTTTCCTGGCGGTTGTTCTGAACTAGGCTGCCTAAACCCTAAACCCTAAACCGTAATCCCCCCCTAACGAAGCTTTCCCTGGGTTGCCATTATCACCGTTGCTCGCTCAGTTCTTCGATCGCTGCATTCTTCTTAGAACGCATGCAGCGCCCAAACCCATTGAACCCTAAACCCTGAAACCCTTATTTTGTTCGCCCTACTTGAAGGTTCATGGTACTTACTAACCACTTATAACTGTACTTGTAACCCTACTTATAATACCCCTAAAGGGCCTTATAGGGGTTATCCCAATTATAAGTAGGGTTACAAGCCCAGTTATAATTGTTAGTAAGTACCATGAACCTTCAAGTAATCCCTCCGGGACCGTCAGCTCGTATGAACCCTAGGCCGTAAACCCGATAACGCTCCCTAATTCGAACGGTGAACCTTCCAATTCTGCCAACTTCTTTTTGATCGACAGGACACTAGCAAGTCCCGCCGCTATGTCACTGGGCTGCAAGGTTTAGGGGTGTGGTTTGGCAAGTACAATATCCTAGTATCCAGAGTAGGCCCCTGTTCCCTGTTATTCGTTCCCTTACAAGACCCTTTTAACCCAAGAAGGGTCCCCTTTCAATTCCTAGGTTACCCCTGTGTCTAGTATCCGGCATTCGCAAAAACTAGCCTCTTTTTTTTTTTTTTTTGGGGGGGGGGGGGGGTTAAGCTTGGGGGTTTTGCGGGGTTTAAGGCTTTAGGCTGCCGCAAACTGCAAGCTATGGGAAGCCTCCCTAAACCCCTAAACCGAAACCCCAAACCCTAAACCCCAAACCCCTAAAGCGAAACCCCAAACCCTAAACCCTAAACCTGCAGCAGGGAGACGTCTGGCATAGCAGGGCCTTTCGTGGGGTGGTTTTCAAGGTAGTGGGGGTCCATGGGAATGGATCAAACTTTGGGGTTCAAGGGTTCAAGGGTTGACTGGTTCAAGGGTTTCCGGGTTGAAGGTTGAAGGGTTCATTCCCTACAAAGAACTGGCAGGTATGGGGCTTTGGGGGGGGGGGGTTGGGGGGGGGGTGGGGGTTTTGGCGCTTTATGCCTTCAGAGTGTGAGAGACTTGGCTGACAGATTCGAGCTCGGGGGTGGTGTAGGGATGTAAACGATTAGAGTTTAGGGTTGAGGGGTTTGGTACCTCCAATTAAGGGTAGTTACGTGGTCCCTGAATATGGTCCCTTACCTTCTTCAAAGGGTTCTGAAGTATGGGCCCCTCGGGTTTGAGGGGTATATAGGGTTTATAAGTGGTCCCCGGACCATGTAGCTACCAAAAATAACTCCCAACCCTCTAGAGTCAAACGACTGCCTTGGACCCCTGAGGTGGTACCCTTGGGTTTGGGGACCCTGTTTACAGGTCGTTTAAGGTTTAGGGTTTAGGGTTTAGGGTTTGGGGTTTAGGGTTTAGGGTTTAGGGTTTAAGGTTTAGGGTTTAGGGTTTAGGGTTTAGGTGGTACCCTTGGGTTTGGGGACCCTTTTTAAAGATCCTTTAAGGTAGCATAAGCGCTATATCAGGAGTTTCTTAAGGGGAACCGATAGGGGCACAACCTTAGTTCTACGAGTTCTTGGATGTTCCCCCTGTACACTAACAGTCCATAATGGGCATTACCAGGGGGGTACTATGATGCCTATTAAGGACTGCAAGTATAAGTGGGAACATCCCAAGTACGAACCTTAATCCCTTGACAAGAGGGGGGGGGGGGGGGGGGGGCTGTGCTCTTATACCAGCTATCTTTGAGGCCCAGCAGTGCGCAGCAATCAGGCGGAAGCGCTGCTGGGCTGATCTATGCAGGGAGGGTTTAGGGTAGGGTTCAGGGTTCAGGGTTCAGGGTTCAGGGTTCATTGTTCAGGGTTTAGGGTTTAGGGTTTAGGGTTTAGGGTTTAGGGTTTCGGGTTTAGGGTTTAGGGTTTC